TGACAGAGTTAATAAAGGATGCAGTGGATTTGGATTTGAATTTGGACATGTATAATTTTCCTGAAGACATGAATAAAGAAGATATGAGCATCTTAAATACAACTTTGGATGGAATTGTTAGCATGCTGTCTGGTCTGGATAACAAGATGAATCAACTGAACACCAAGATGAATGATCTTGATAACAAGGTGAATAAATTGAACACCAAGGTGAGTGATCTTGATAATAAGTTGGATAAACTGAAATGTTACAACAGCAGTGGATTTTGTTACATTAGTGCCCAATTATCCCCAATCACAAAGTCATTAACAGGAAAGACAAAAAAATGAGAGGGAGGGAACCACTAATCAGAAAAAAGAAGGACCAGGGGGATCAGGAGAGAGTAAGAAAATTAAACAGATGGATCCATGCTACGTATTGGTAAAAGACATACAAAAAACTGAAGAAAAAAAACCTCAGGAAACCAAGAGGAAACTACCCCTGATATGTGATAAGGGACAGAAGATTGATTGATTGATTGTATATTGTTTAACGTCCCTCTTGAGAATTTTTCACTCATATGGAGACGTCACCGATGCCGGTGAAGGGCTTCAAATTTAGACCTATACTCGGCACTCAGGGCCATTGAGCAGTGAGGGTTCTTTATCGTGCCAACGCCTACCGTGACACGGGACCTACGTTTTTAAGGTCATATCCGAAAGACCCGTGACTTTCACTTCTAGTGCCGAGCGCTTGGCGAAGGAACAGTCACTACCTTTGTTTACGTCTTAGGTATGACGAGGGACAGAAGAAAAAGAAAATGTAATTGGATGTATTTTTTTTCATTCTGAATAAAAATTGCCTTGTTCTAATCTGTCTTTTGTTATTTTGTTATTGTTTTCAGTAAAACCAGTTTGAACTGGTTAGGCTGGCTAGACTGTGAATGAAAGCGTGACGTCATAATGACATTCTTTTGAGTCGCTGCCAAAAATCGTAGTACCAACGTATAGTATAATGTAAACACAGTGTAAGCGCCCCGTATTTAGGGAATAGGTTAGGGTTAGGGGTTAGGGTTAGGGGCTAGGGTTAGGGTTAGTTAGGGATAGGGGTTTAGGGTTAAGGGGATAGGGTTAGTTAGGGTTAGGGTTAGTTAGGGCTAGGGGGTTAGGGTTAGTTAGGGTTAGGGTTAGTTAGGGCTAGGGGATTAGGGTTAGGGTTAAGGTTAGGGTTAGGGGGGCTAGGGTTAGGGTTAAGGTTAGGGTTAGTTAGGGCTAGGGGGTTAATGTTATGGGATAGAGTTAGAGGATTTAGGGGGTTAGGACTGCACTCAGTTTACCTCCTATCCCCCCCAGGGGATGCACTCCCTTGACCCCCTTATCCTCCCAACCAATCAAAATCCACCATTTTTTGACCTCATTTGCATAAAAAGTGCACTCAGTTGACCCGGCTATCTAGGCCCCTTATACTACTCCAATTTAACAATACAAAATAGGAGCTGGAGCAATCATGGAACTCCAAAACATCAGAGGTGGGATCAGGTGCCATGGAGGAGTAAGCATCCCCTACAAAACGGTCACACCCGTCGTGTGTTCCTTGTCTTGATTGAGAAAAAACGGGAAAAAATACGTCTACAGTTCAGTGTGTTAATGATGGCTCTACAGTAAATATGGAAAACGTTAGTCAGTATTTCACCTGATGATAAATTGTATTTGCTGGCAGGGTTATTGTATCGACATAGAACTTGCGAAATGATGACTTTAAACAAAACTAATGCCCTGCTCATACGACGAGCTTAATTCGCAGTAAATTAATGCGAAGTAAACTAATGCAAAGTAAAATAATTTGAACTAAATTGCATTCACACGACAGCTAAAGTGAAGTAAAATAATGCGAATTAAAATTTTACTTCTACAGTCAGAGCGTCAATTAGGCTATTATGACGTCATTTGCAAAACACAGAAGATTCACTTGACGTTATGTAATGCCATAGTGTTTGTACACACATTTTAGCGATTAACACAATCCCCCTTAGTTTTTTACTCAAAAATAGTACAAGTTCTTATAGCTGACCACTGACATGTGACATTTGACTTAATTTTGCCATTACACATGCCCCAAAATTTTAAATGTACTTTTTAAAGTGCGTGAGAAATGCGTGATTGTGGGGAGACGGTATATGCGTGATTTTGCGTTAGAAATAGGAAATGGTATATGCGTGACTGCGGGGAAGGTGATTAAACTAAATCTCATTAAACTGAACGCTGTTCAAATTTAATTCGTGTTCATTCGTGGGCATTATTTATCTTTAAGCAACTTGGGTTGTCAATAACTTACCTCGTTTTAAAAATTATTCACAAGTAGAGCGTGCTCTTGCATGCGTTCCTAATCAACTGAGAGAGATAATATCCGTATGCAGGTAATGAAGGTATATATTTCTGCATAATTAATGAAATTGACAATTGAAAAGATAAAGTCATTCGTTTGTCATAAAGATTATTTTTTAGATAACCATCCCCATCCTTTTCAAGAATCATGTCTTAATATGAAACAGATGTGCCCAACTCCGTGGTATCTTTTATATCTTTTATTTATACGGGATATATCATATCGAGGATGGAAATAACTATTGTTAATTGACAAATATACGTCGTCGATATATATAAATAACGAGTTGAATGCAACACAACGAGTGTTTTCTTCTTTTCACGTATAAATTCTGGTTCATATGCTTCAGGGTCAAGATCTAGAAAACGTTTTTACTACTTTAGACAAACTTCATGGAGCTAGATCCATTTAATTTGAAATTACACGAAAAGTTGTCCCGATATTTATATTGACATTATTTTAAAGAAGAGGCCATGAACATGCAAATTACCGTTTTCTGAAAGAAATTTTCTTTGTCTGATAAGAAAAAACTCTCATATTAGCGACTGCATTTCTTAATTTTTCATTAGAAATGACAATTTAAAATATGAATTTTCATCTTGTTTAATTACAAATTATGCCCGGTGTAATGACGAATAATGACCCCCATCGAATAATGACCGGGGGTCATTTTTCAACGACAATAAATGACCCCCACCCATAGAAAAAAATATTTTTTGTAGAAAAAGAGTCCCAGGGGTCATTATTTTATATGTTAGTCCTATAAAAAATTGACCCCCATTGAAAAATGACCCCCTTAAAAGTAATACAAAGTTTATAACAGGTGAAAGGGAAAAATATACTGTATATTATACTTGTTCTTGCTTCGAGTAATTCACGCATTTTATCCCCCCTCCCCCAAAAAAGAACATTACGTTAAATCAAAACAAAACAAAAAAAAATAAATAAATAAAAAAAATAAAATAAATGAAAAGCAAAAATATAAATAAAACTCTATACCTTTAAATATTAATACTGAAAGAGGCTCTAGATAGAACATTGAAATAAAGTTAAGCCTTCACACAAGTACTTTCATAACATAATTTACTTCGCCATGATTAAAGCATACTTTAAATTTTGGTGGAAGTATACTTGAAAGTATTGTGGCAAAGTAACAACAGTTGAAAATTAGTAGAATAGTAAATTGATTTAAGCTTATTTTAATTCCCTCCTTATAGAAAAATAAACGTAGGGTTATTATTATTTTTGTTGTTGTTGCTTTTTTTGACGATCGACTTCCTCCTAAATAAGTAAGGGGGTGGGGTATAAAACCTAAAAATACGCTCTGTAAAGCTATGGGCTAGTAAAATACACATTCTGATGCAAAAACTATACATGTAGACATAACCTTTTGATTTAGCATAAATTGTTCATCACATTTCTTAATTCTTGTTTTACTCCACTCTTTTACGTAGTTCTGAGTACATTTTTAAGAGAATTTAATATGAAAATTAGAACAAACATTTTCATTTTAGTAACGTCTTCTTTATACTGTATCATAATATTAAAAGTTAATTGAAGACCATTTCTTTTTATGTCCCCGTAATCGAAGATTCGGGGATATATAGTTTTATCGTGTCTGCTTGTATGTTTGTCTGTCTATCTGGCGGTCTGTTTATCCACAAAAACTTTAACCTTGACCATAACTTTTCATTTATTGGAGCTATGACTTTCATATTTAATATGTGTATTCCTTGTGACAAGACCTTACTTTGGGTACCACCAAATTTGACCTTTTGACCTTTACCTTGGAGTTTGTCCCATTTTACACAAAAATGCCAAATTTTTACTTTGGCCATAACTTTCAATCGGTATATACTAGTACTCTCATACTTCACATATGTATTTTTTTTAGCATGACCTTTCATTGGATACTAAAAACTTTGACCTTTTGACCTTGGAGAACTCCGTACTTATGAAAAAAAACTTTAACCTTGGTCTTAACTTTTGAACGGTAAGGACTAAGGTTTTCATACTACACAAATGTTATCCTTGTTACATTAAACCTTTCTTAAGAAACCATCAACTTTGACCCTTTGACCTTTTAGTTTGACCTACCTTTCAAAAACTTATCCTTAACCATCACTTTTGAACAACCCATCGATTAACTATAAACGTATATGTTTTAACAACCCATCCCCCCTCCCCGATGAAAAATTTCTAGATCAGCACCTGAATAAACCAGTCAAAGAATACCTGTAATGTAAATATGATATTTTAATAAAAATGTTAATTAAAATATCATTATAATAATAATAATAATAATATTTTTTATAAATAAACCTTCACCATCTATTTGAGTCTTCTCAAATATCATAATAATATCTAGTTGTTGTTTTTTTTTTAAATATCACATTACCTTTGTTTCTTTTTTTCGAGTGTTATTGTATTTATGAATCTTAATTTTACCAAATCTGTTTTTATTGTGTTTGCAGGATGCGTTATTTTGTGTTTCCCATCAAAGTATTATTTTGATGCATCCGATGCATTTGGATGTATAAGTTCTTCACTACTAATTCATTCATACAGAAAAGGAATTCTACCCGACACACCTGAGGCCATTAACCCAAGATTTTTTCTAAGCACTGTTGGCGTAACGAATTTACAACTGAACTTCTCGAGTATATCGGGTCTAAGGGATTTCAATCCTTCCAAGAAAACTTTTATCATTATTCATGGATTTCTAAGTAGTGGACAAACTGAATGGATATCTGATATGTGCCAACAAATCCTATCTACGGTTTGTTGCATAGAAGTTCAAAGTTATGCAATATACATTTACACAATCTGATATTTACTAATCAAGCTCTATTAAAATGGTAAATCGATAATTCTGCTGTACATACACCATCTAATTCATAATATTGTCTTCTCCTAATAGGTGGACGCAAACGTCATAGTGGTAGATTGGAAAAAGGGGGCAAACATCCATACTGGTTACTATTATGCTACAGTCAATACTGAGGTGGTTGGAACCATCCTCGCTCTTCTTGTAAGAAGTCTAGAACGTCATCAGGGCGCCGATAAATCACATTTTCACATCATTGGACACAGTCTGGGGGCCCATGTTGCAGGATTCTCAGGAAGTGCATATAAGAAAACAAGATATCAAAGAATCACAGGTAAAACGCGAGAGGAAAATTATCATTGATCTGGCATGGATACGATTACTGAAAAATGTAATCGATTACTTAGGAGAATTTTGTGTAGTTTTATCCTGTAATCGAATGTAATGGATTTCTTTAGATAATATAATCGATTAGTAATCTATTACTTTCAATTTTCATCCACCTTCAAATATCAAAGCAGAAAAATTTCAATATTAAATTTATTAGTTAAAATATTATTGTAGTTATGTTGATGATATCCTCTGAAGTTTTCATACAGGTTGATTTGAACCTCCATATCTAATAACTTTTGATTGTTGTAAAAAGTAGTTAATATTTGAATACTTGAAGAATTAAATCCAAGTTCTTTTAAAATACAATTTACTAGCATATAATGAGCCTTTGTCAGCAGGGACCAGTACAGTGTACGTACTGATCATGTAATCTATCTAAATCTATCTAAATCTTTTTTCACTTCTGGATTATTGAATGCACAAGGATAGACGGTTTTCATATTGCGCCTCAATCATTTAACAAGCAATTTTAACATGGATCTGATAAATTTAATCCATTCTGACAAAGTGTCAACGTCTTTTTCATATGTGGCACATCGCCTGGGGTAATCTTCAACAGAATCAATGATATTTATGAAATTCTGACACCAGTTGAAGGAACGAGTTTCCTTATACTTAGGGCCTTTTAAAATAAGTGATCAAAGGCCTTCATTATTAACTATATTTATGTCACCTGTAATAACGTGTTCAGCAGAACTATCGTAATAGGACAAACAATGACCTTGTTAGCTAATACAATTTATCATTGAGACAAATGCTGACTGACATTTTTCATACTAATTGTTAGTCCATTATTTATACACTGAATTGACGACGGATTTTCCCGTTATTTTCCGATCATGACAAGGAGCACGCGGCAGGTGTGACCGGTCGGCAGGGGATACTCACTCCTCCACTGCACCTGATCCCACCTGTGATGTTTCGGAGGTCTGTGTTTGCTCTGCTCCTATTTTGTATTGTTTTATGGACTTTGATATTTAATACTGTTCGTTATCTCCATATCCTACACCAATAATTTAATATCAATTTTCCAGGATACTTGCCAGTGGTGTTTATAACTCATTCTTTTGTCATTTGATAAAACTTAAATCTACAAAGCCTAAGGATACTTCTATATTAATAGAACTAATAACGGTAACCTGTTCTTGAAAGGAAGATTTTTAGAGACATTTCCTATAAGACGTATTCCTATACGTAACTTCCATCCCGTCTTGTGGCCCCGCCCTACCCAGAGGGGTTATGGTACGAACAAACTTGAGGAGAATTTTAAATGCTGCCACCAACTTTCACGAATTTCGAATTATCTCCCATTGAAAGAGGGCGTTGCAATTCCTGGACCTATTTATGAGAGGAAAGGAGTTTACTACAAGTGCTCATGAAATATATAATTTAGTTTGTATGGTGATAATGTCGTTTTGGAGTATATAAGCACTGGCAAGTAAAAATATAAACTTCATAATATAACTGAGTACTAAATAAACAATCTAAGAGGGGTGTTAGAAAAGTTCGCGGACAAATTCTATTGCGCTATTTCCACAAAACCGGTCAAACTTTCCAAATAAAATCTTAAAGCCGCTTAACCCGAAACAAGCACATATTATCTTACACAATAAAAGTACGTCATTACATAGATAATATAATTATAAAAATAAATTATAAGATTGATTTAATAGGTTATTACAACAATCCTTACATGGAAAACGCAGATCAAAAACCTTATTGACAAACAGTGGTTCCTGACGGAAGTTAAGATCTGTTGTGAAGTCAATTTTGAAAAAAATAAGTTTATCGGATATATATATAATAATAAAGATAATTAAAACCCGAGTTTTTTTCTCTATTAGTAGAAGCCTTAGTCATAATACATCTTTTCAAAATTAAGAAATTAATTGAATATAATCCATAGTAAATTTTATATTAATATGCTCATTTAAAGAATAAAGGAAAATCAGATATTTTAAATGATTTTTTAAAGGAGCTAAAATATTGTCCGTGTACAGGTAATATATGTACTTTGTTGTGAAAAAAATGCTCGGGTTTGTTCTTCATGAGATAAACATGTAAGTGATAAATTTAATTTTTCGAAGGTGATTTCACGCGATATCAACAATGATCAACATAGGATTATTTTTTGTGTGACCTAACAAAAATTGTTTTTTTTAACTTTTGAATTTTGATATCTTTTAAAAGAAAAAGACTTTGGGTATATAATTTGACAAAAGTTGAAACAATTTATGGAGAATTATTTTTCAAGAAGAAAAACGAATATATATTTTTAGCGATTAGAATCGGACAAAGCAGCTTTAACCTACTCTCCAATTAAATATACAAAAATTTGGTGCTCTCCAGTGATCATTGTAAAATATACAGCTTTTTGATAAAACTTGCTTCACAGAGCATGCTACATTTTGCAGGTTTACATCACAAAGACTCTTTATTAAAATTAAAAATTACACAATTGTAGCGCAAAGAGATTTATGATATTTTACCTGTCGCTAAAATATTCATAAAACGTCACTGGGAGAAATTTGAATAAAATTGGAGTGTATATGACTGCTTTACCACCATTTATAAATGATCAACGCGTAAAAACACGGCCAAAAATCGGAACGTCTTCGAGCGTCTTGGAGCACTGCACTACGTAAAAATTATGTGTTCAGACAGGAAAATGTCTAAAAAGAGATTAAAATGTTCAAGATGCTGCCGCAAATTTCCTACACATACATAGGATAAAGTTTTCAAATGGTTGTAGCTTTATAAGAATGGAAAGATTAACATTTTGAATGTTTAACTCCATCGATACTTGAACATGTTCAGTACCCCCTTATCGCATGGACGTTGTGCCTATATGGTTTTGCATAGTTTCCATTCCTGATCGATTAACTGCATAGACATTTTAAAGATCTCAATAATATACGAATCAGTACAAAAGACATTGTAGTAGAAAAGTAACATGTCTTGATATAGATATTCAATTTCAAAGTAGTAAAATAGATAAGAAAAATCTGAAGAAATGGAAGATTTACAGAACTGGACAAAGCTTAACGGGTTGAAATCTGGTTGTCACGTCGCCTTACGTCAAGTGATTGCTTCGTGAATCCAATGACCTCATAGTAAAAATTATTGTAAATTTTTAAGATTTTAGTAAATGGACCTGATTTTTTACAAACTAATAAACAAAATGTAGGAATTTATTCAGACTTAGGTAATACTTCACAGTACACAATAGATTTTTCGTAATTCAATGTGTCTGCGAACTTTTCTAACAACCCTCGTATTTAGGTGATCTCTGATCGTTACTTTCTCTTACCGGTACTAGTGGGAAACATAAAATATCTACATATACTAGTATTTATCAGTCGTTTTTACTTCCTATGTCTAACAGTGTTCTATTATACTCTGGTAAATATTATGCCCTTGGACCTCGTCCTCATTTTCAGGTGAAACAATAATTCTGTACTTGATGCTTTACTAATTTGGCTTACAATGCAATACAATTAAGAAAACGTGACATACGTGCAGAACCAGACCCAATCCTTAAACCAAGATGCAATACATGTAAAAGCAAGTAATCTAAAGAAAAGCAAGAAACTGATAATGAAAATTTACACGTGTGTAAGAATTTATTAGAAATAAAGAGCTCATTCAATATTTGTGTTGTAGGTTTGGATCCTGCAGGACTATTTTTCAGAAAAAAAGGACGTGACGCGAGATTAGATGAAACTGATGCCCATTTTGTGGACGTGATTCATACTGATGGTGGTATTACCGGTAAGTGGATTTTTTTCATTTGTTTTATTGATTTTGATATCAACAGTACTTAGTATTTTACATTATTGTCTAATTTTAAAGATAAAAAAGATGCTTTCAGTTTTCAAAGTGTTTTTATATTATCGCATTGCAGTGTTAATTTTGTAAGTTACCAATGGATACAGTCACTCAGATGTTGACATTCAGTTGTCAGAGTGTTTTGGTTTGTTGCCCCGTATTTAAACTTAATCTCAAAGCATTTTTGCGACTGTGGATCCGAATAACTTTGTCGAAATGTAAAGATTATCGTGATGATTCATTATCTATTTTAAATGACAAAACCTGACAAAACTTGCTACAAAGTATTCTTGGGTAAAGGGGATTCAAGTTTGTTCAAATATAGGGCCACGCCCTTTTCCAAGGGGAGATAATTATGAATTATTGAAGAATTAATGGCATTTTAAAAAAAATCTTCTTTTTAAGAACCACTGGGCCAGGAAAGATGAAACTCATGTGGAAGCATCCTTGGTTAGTGTAGATTCAATTTTGTTTAAATCATGACCCCCGGGGGTAGGGTGGGGCCACAATGACCGATCAAAGTTTTACATAGAAGTATAAAGGGAAAATCTTTAGAAAGCAATAACCACTGGGCCAGGAAAGAGGAAACTCATGTGGAAGCATCCTAATGTAGTGTAGATTCAAGTTTGTTCAAATCTTGGCCCCTGGGGGTAAGGTGGGGTTAAAATGGCTGATCAAAGTTTTGATAGAGAAATATTTTAAAATTGTCTTCTCAAGTGATATTTATATGGAATTGTCCTCAGGTAGTGTAGATTCTAGCTTGTTCAAATCCTAGATATATTAAAGAAATCTTCTTCCCAAGATTAGCAAAACCATGATCAGTGATAGTAGTATTTCTATGGAAGAATTTGCGGGTAGTGTAGAATTAAATTAGTTCAAATCATAACCCCCAAGGGTAGAGTGGGGCCACAATGGTGGATCAAAGTTTTACATAGAAATGTAAAGGGAAAAATCCCAGGAACAGAAAAGCTATGTTTAGTCATATTGACATGCAAGCATCCCCATGTATTGAAGATTTAAATTTATTCAATTCATGGCCCTCTGGGGTAGGGAGGGAAACAATGGGGAATCAAATTCAAAATATAATGAAGTTTTATAATGGAAGGAAATGTTTTTTTAAAAAATCTCAATATTTAAATGATGTTTTACGGTGTTCCACTGATCAAGTATAGCATTTTATACTCTACTTAGTTAAAAATAATTTTCTTTGTATTCGCTGAATATGATAATAAAGGACTGTAAAAAAGCAATCGAAATATCAATCGAATATAAAAAATTATACCAGAGAAATTTAATGTAGGAAACAAGTGATTAAAGTAAAAAAAAACGATAATTTTAAAAGATTGCCCATTAAATTATTGATAATTAAATGTAGATTTTAATTTATTAGCTCACCTGAGCCGAAGGCTCAAGTGAGCTTTTCTGATCAAAATTTGTCCGTTGTCTGTCGTCGTTGTAGTCGTTGTCGTCGTTGTAAACTTTTCACATTTTCGACTTCTTCTCAAGAACCGCTGGGCCAATTTCAATCAAACTTGGCACAAAGTATCATTGGGTGAAGGGGATTCAAGTTTCTTCAAATAAAGGGCTACGCCCTTTTCCAAGGGGAGATAATTATGAATTTGTTAAAAATTAATGGCATTTTTAAAAAAATCTTCTTCTTAAGAACCACTGAGCCAGGAAAGATGAAACTCATGTGGAATCATCCTCAGGTAGTGCAGATTCAAGTTTGTTCAAATCATGACCCCCGGGGCTAGGGTGGGGCCAAAATGGCCGACCCAAGTTTTACATAGGAATATATAGGAAAAATCTTTAAAAATCTTCTTCTCCAGAACCACTGGGCCAGGAAAGATGGAACTCATGTGGAATCATCCTCAGGTAGTGTAGATTCAAGTTTGTTCAAATCATGACCCCCAGGGCTAGGGTGGGGCCAAAATGGCCGACCGAAGTTTTACATATGAATATATAGGAAAAATCTTTAAAAATCTTCTTCTCCAGAACCACTGTCCCAGGAAAGATGAAACTCATGTGGAACCATCCACAGGTAGTGTAGATTCAAGTTTGTTCAAATCATGACCCCCGGGGCTAGGGTGGGGCCAAAATGGCCGACCGAAGTTTTACATAGGAATATATAGGAAAAATATTTAAAAATCTTCTTCTCCAGAACCACTGGGCCAGGAAAGATGAAACTCACGTGGTCTCATCCTGAGGTAGTGTAGATTCAAGTTTGTTCAAATCATGACCCCAGGGGCTAGGGTGGGGCCAAAATGGCCGACCAAAGTTTTACATACGAATAAATAGGAAAAATCTTTAAAAAATCTTATTCTCCAGAACCACTCGGCCAGGAAAGATGAAACTCACGTGAAATCATCCTCAGGTAGTGTAGATTCAAATTTGTTCAAATCATGACCCCCGGGGCTGGGGTGGGGCCAAAATGGCCGACCAAAGTTTTTCATAGGAATAAACAGGAAAAATCTTTAAAAATCTTATTCTCCAGAACCACTGGGCCAGGAAAGATGAAACTCATGTGGAATCATCCTCAGGTAGTGTAGATTCAAATTTGTTCAAATCATGACCCCCGGGGCTGGGGTGGGGCCAAAATGGTCGACCGAAGTTTAACATAGGAATATATAGGAAAACTATTTAAAAATATTCTTCTCCAGAACCACTCGGCCAGGAAGTGGATGAAACTCATGTGGACTCATCCTCAGGTAGTGTAGATTCAAATTTGTTCAAATCATGACCCCCGGGGCTGGGGTGGGGCCAAAATGGTCGACCGAAGTTTAACATAGGAATATATAGGAAAACTATTTAAAAATATTCTTCTCCAGAACCACTCGGCCAGGAAGTGGATGAAACTCATGTGGAATCATCCTCAGGTAGTGTAGATTCAAGTTTGTTCAAATCATGACCCCAGGGGTTAGGGTGGGGCCAAAATCGCCGACCCAAGTTTTACATAGGAATATATAGGGAAACCTTAAAAAGTTTTCTTTTCAAGTACTTCAAAGCTATGATTAGTGATATTTATATGGAATCATCCTCAGGTAGTGTAGATTCTAGTTTGTTCAAATGATGAATTCCTGGGGGGAGTGGGGTTAAATTCAAGCCCGATGTGCTCAGGTGAGCGCTGTGGCCCCTGGGCCTCTTGTATTTTGGCTAATGGTACTTTGCAGAACGAAACGAAACGGAACGGAACCAGTTGTGGGGCACCCTAGGGGGGCGGGGGAATAAAAATGAATATATTATATATAATAACCAGAAGTCTCTGTCGAGACTGTAGCTCTACTGGTTTGTACTTATCAAAAACCATTGCACTATTTTATGTATCTTTGTGTAGTCTACTTGTGTGCCAACTTATTTTGAAATCAAACTAGAACTTTGAAAGGAATTTCACAGAAAATTCTATTTTTAGTAACCATGGCAACACCGTTTATCGAAATTAAAAACCGATGCACTATTCTATGTATCTTAGTGTCGTCTACTTGTGTGCCAAGTTATATTGAAATCAGACCAAAACTGTAGAAGGTGTAGCGTTTTAAAGGAATTTCACAGAAAATTCTACTTTTAGTAACCATGGCAACATTGTTCATCGAAATTAAAAACCGATGCACTATTCTATGTTTCTTCATGTAGTCTACTTGTGTGCCAAGTTATATTGAAATCAGACCAAAACTGTAGAAGGAGTAGCGTTTTAAAGGAATTTCACAGACAATTCTATTTTTAGTAACCATGGCAACACCGTTCATCGAAATTTAAAACCGATGCACTATTCTATGTATCTTAGTGTAGTCTACTTGTGTGCCAAGTTATATTGAAATCAGACCAAAACTGTAGAAGGAGTAGCGTTTTAAAGGAATTTCACAGAAAATTCTATTTTTAGTAACCATGGCAACATTATTCATCGAAATTAAAAACCGATGCACTATTCTATGTATCTTAGTGTAGTCTACTTGTGTGCCAAGTTATATTGAAATCAAACCAAAGCTGTAGAAGGAGTAGCGTTTTTAAGGAATTTCACAGAAAATTCTATTTTTAGTAACCATGGCAACACCGTTCATTGAAATTAAAAACCGATGCACTATTCTATGTATCTTAGTGTAGTCTACTTGTGTGCCAAGCTATATTGAAATCAGACTAAAATTGTAGAAGAAGTAGCGTTTTGAAAAATTGTTTACAGACAGACGGACAGACAGACAGACAGACAGACAGGCGGACGGACGCCGGACGCATTACTATCGCATAAGCTCTTCTGGTCTCTGACCAGTAGAGTTAAAAATGAATATAATACGTTACTTTATTACAAATTATTCGGCCATTCTATATCTTAAGAAACCAAACCAAAAAAGTGTCAAGTGTCTGAAGAAGAGGACCATGAAATAAGATGTCTATAAGTCATGAATTAATCTGTCTTTGAGTTTTTGATATAGCTGCTGTGTCAACTGAAGTGACTATGTGAACTGTATTGAATGAGAGACGTACACCTATCATTGAAGTAAATATTTAGGTCTTTCCACCTTTCTGTGGAAAGACCTATTGATATTCTTCTGTTTATTATTAGGTCTTTCCACCTTTCTGTGGAAAGACCTATTGATATTCTTCTGTTTATTAGGTCTTTCCACCTTTCTGTGGAAAGACCTCTTGAAATGCTTCTGTTTATTAGGTCTTTCCACCTTCCTGTGGAAAGACCTCTTGAAATGCTTATGTTTATTATTATTCTTCTTCTTCTTCCCGGACTTTTGAAACCGCAAGACTTATCGAAAAACTTTATAGTTCATGAAACTGGATATCAAAAGTTATTCTGAAAAACGACAGCCCTTGTTTGAACTTTGACCCCTTTCGAAGTTATTTCCCTTTACGCAAGAAATGCTTGTTATCGCTACTCCTCCGAAACCGTAGACCATATAGACACCAAACCTTCACTAAAGTCTTCGACTAATTGAGAGGAC